GACAGAAGAAGTATTTATTTTCCAGAATAACAAAGAACATGGTGCATTTATTTTCCAAAATATGCTCCAAAACAATCTGATGTGCACACTACATGCATATAGTGATTGCTGCAAAAGATAACAACCAATATAATACACCTATTAATGAGTAAGATGCGTATATGTTAACTACAAAAGATTACAAATGTTTCTTGCATTATACTACGTATATGAATGACACCGGAAAAATGCGTTACTGTCATAAACATCTTAGAAGAGTTTAGTAACTAAGTAGATTAGTACGTAGATCAATCCCGATCCCCCGCATCTTACCTTTTCATCCTCGAATAAGTGAATGACTGAACAAACTATTATCTTCACAGGATTACCAAACAAATAGTATCGATAGGCCGGGTGACTTGGATAGGATTTCAACAGACTTATATACTACGTATGCGGCTTTTCGAAATTTCAGATTCTAACAAACAGGGTTAAATGGTTTTCAAAAAAAAAAGGGGTTAAATAATGTAGCAACCTTTGTGATTCGAAAAGTCAGTGCATATACCTTTAAATGTAAATGCCTTGGAAAAATATAAGGACGGTTATTATGCATTTATTCTTCACGCTTCCCAAATGTTTGTGTAAATTTTTGCTGCCCGTCTTTTCACGATTCCAGCAAGTCTAGCTAGTAGTTCAAGACTTCAAGCATATTTTATTTTCAGATTCCCGCCCATTCCCCTCTCCCACTATTCCGTTTATAATATATATACGTAGTATATATATATAGATACTCTAGTGTATAGCTTTCTATTGTTTTTCTTTTCGGAAGAGTACTGTTGTTACTTTAATACTCCATATTCTAATTCTTGGATGAGCTTCCGTGTTGGGCTGCCATACAATGATACAAGCAGTACTCGGCTCGTACTCAGGGGCGGATCTAGCATTTGCATTGAGGTGAGACCAAATTTTAATTACGTAATTTATTTTGCAAAAATGTTAAAATGACAAGATGTAGTTAAATAATTTTACAAAAATGCCATCAAAGAAAAAAAAATTACAAAACCAAAAATTTAATTTATCTTTAAAAGAGCCATAGATACCGAACCAAAATTGGCTCACGTCGGTTACTGAAGTGTTCAGTACCAATTTTCATGTTAATTGATTTCTTAAAAATCAATTTTCTTTTGACTCCGTAGTCTATGCTCTATGTAAAAAGGTAAACTAATTAAATTTCACCTGCTACACCAAGCAGAATGGATTGAACTTAATAATTTTCAAATCAATATTCAAAAGTCCAATGATTTGAGCTAATTAATTTTTTAGACTATTATTCGAAATTCTAATGAATCGAACAAATTAATTTTTCAAGCTAATATTCAAAAGACAAATGAATTGATCTAATTAATTTTGTAGGCCAATTACCAAAAGTCCAACATTTTGGACAGTGCTTCAAAAAAATTACTCATGTTACATTGAAAAATTATAAATACGATGTCCAAGGGAATCAAACTTGACTCCTTTTATTGCATCAGACCAACTTGACTAATGTTCACAATTCGGCATTAGCTTTTATTATATCATAACTACTGAAACACTATATATTAATATATACATAATATATATACTAGTAATTAAGTTTTTTTTAGCATGGGCCTAGGCCCTCCCTGGCCATGGGCCAGATCTGCCCCTGCTCGTACTCTGTTACACTTGCTTCAGTGGCAGGTTCTCACTAGACTTTAATTATTACTCAGTAAGTCAGTATTATACTAATAGTAATAAAATATATTTTTTGGGCCTTAACTTTTTTCAGGGCCCTGTGCCAATGCACTGCCTACACTTGCTGTAGGCCGGCCCTGTTTGCAAGTGTCACATTGATGTCATCAGACCACAAACTACTTGACCGGCCTTATAGTCTCATACACTCAATTGAATTTGGTTGGAGGATTTACGAGTACAAGAGCTCACTTTTATGATTTTATAGTAGTATGAGAAACTATTTAATAGTTATCCCATACTACAATCACCACATGGTTGATACTATTCATCATCTATTAATTTCAAGTCATGGGTTTGTGTGAAGATTTTTTCTGTCACATATAAAAATTGATTATTTGTTACTACCTCCGTCCCATATTTATTTTCAGTTCGGTTTACGATACTTGACTGACGATAAAACAACTCGATCCCTGTTCACACTCGGAATATTTTTAGTAAATAAAATTTACATATTCAGAAACTACATTAAAACCGCTACAAAGCCTGATCAAGAAAATTTAAGTTTGATAAAATTTTGATATATAAAGTAAAAGATTAAGAATAATTTGAGTTGACCATGTGAATAGTAACTATGAAGATAATTTTAGGACGGAGGGAGTATTATTTTAGGAATTGGCACTTTAATTATTTAGAGAAATATATCCATGTGTAACTAAACAATTATAGAATTGTAATATACTACTTCCTTCCCAGGTTAAGATTTCCGATGAAAAATGACATGACTACTTAGATAAGAATTAAATAAGGTAATTCAGCTGTTAGAAGTAATTTTAATAGATACAAGTATTTAATATAATGAAGTCATTGATCATAACCGAGATTTTATAGTTTTATTATTTTTATATTTGATCATTAAATTATCAATTTAACATTGCTAATTATTTTCTAAAATATAAATGAGAATCTTTAGACAGGATGTTCAGAAAAGAAAATGAGGACTTAAAACTAGGACGAAGGGAGTGATAAGTTTAAACATAGATCTATATGAGTTACCATTAAACTGAGAGTCATACTCCTCTCAATTTCCTTTAATTCTCTTCATTTACTCTTTCCGTTTCTTTTCCACTCTATCTCTCCTTAAAAATAATAATTAAACATAATCTTTTTCTTTTCTCTACCCCACCATTTCCCCACCTCTCTCTATCTCTCTCCTACTGAAAAGTTCCAGTTAATGGAGAGGAGCAAAATTCTTAAAGTGAATGCAGGAAAGATAAACTAACATCACAACATTTATCAAATTAAAAACAAAAATCTTTTATTCAATTTTTAGGAATTATTTCCCTACTAGTTATTGACAAATAATATTAATTATTATCTTTGTTATTATTTGTACATAATTATCCAATTGCCTTAGTCTTATCATAGCTAACCATACGGGTGTTATCCCATCTAATTATGTGGGTTGTTACATAGTCTCATCCACTCACATATGTATTATATATATCAGTTGTAATCTGTATCATTTGACATACGAATCATTCATAATACTTCATCTCTTTATGGTATCAAGAGCCTATCTCTCACGAGTCTAATTTTTTTTTTCCTTCTCTGTTGCCATGACTATCACGCCCACAACCACCGTTGTTCCGCTTACTGCCTCCACCCATTTTCCCATCAAGCTTACGGCTTCCAACTTTCCGGTGTGGAAGTGTCAAGTACATTCTGCCCTTGTTGGGCTTGGCCTTGAAGGATACGTTGATGGGACTCTATCCGTGCCTGATCTCTTCACAGATGAAGCCAAAACTATAACCAATCCGTGTTACGTCATTTGGTACCGTCAAGATCGTACCATTCTGAGCGCTCTACTTGGCAGTTGCTCGGATTCCGTTCAGCCGCTTATTTCCTCTGCTTCTACAGCACGTAGTGCCTGGGACAAGCTTACGTTTACGTATGCTAGTACCTCCCGCGGCAGGATAATCTCTCTCAAAACGATGTTGGCACGCACCACCAAAGGCAACCGACCTGTGACGGAATATCTATCTGAAATGTATGGGATCTTTGAAGCTCTGGCGCTGGCTCAAAACCCAATCCCTGAAGAAGATCTCGTGATCAGCATCTTAAATGGACTGGGCCCGGAATACAGTGAAATTCGATCCGCCATACGTGTACGTGCTGCCGCCTTGCCAGTAACGGAACTCCAGGATATCCTTTTGGAACATGAAACCAACCTCCACAACACCCAGCATGCATCAGACCCTCTGGTTCCTACTGCAAATCCAATTCAAATGTCAGCCCCGGGTGCCACAATCAACTACACTACTGGAGATCGCCGTCCCATGCATGATCGCAGGCATCACCCACCTCGTCGTGGACGAGGAGGACACTACTCAGGCGCATCTCGCTCTCCATCACAAACTCCAATATGTCGGTACTGTAGCAACCCCGGCCATGTTGTCAAAGAATGCCGTAAATTGCAACGGTTTCTCAAAGAAAATCAAGTGACCTGTCCGTCCAGTCAAGCTCAACCAATGGTCCACACAACCTCTGCCCATACTCCACCTGGCGGTCAGCACTGGCTGTTTGACAGTGGTGCCTCCCACCACGTCACTAATGACGTCGCCTCTCTTCCCACCTATACCGATTACGGCGGTCCAGATGAAGTTCGCCTTGGGGATGGTAAGGCCTTGTCTATCACTCACACTGGTTCAATGATTTTACCCACAAACACACGCCCTTTAACACTTTCAAATATCTTATGTGTTCCACGTTTAAATAAAAATTTGGTGTCAATTGCAAAATTGTGCAAAACTAACAATGTTTCTGTTGAATTTTTCCCTACCCATTTTATTGTTAAGGATCGGGCCACGGGGGCGTCCCTCATGCGCGGGGAGAACTTCCATGATGTTTACTATGCACCACGTCCAGTCTCGCCTCAAATAAATGCTGTCCAACACTCTCGTTTGTCTCAATGGCATCATGTGCTCGGTCACCCTTCCAGTCAAATATTTAAGTGTCTTTTACGTCAAAATAATCAACTTCAGTCTTATAATTTTGTTGGTAGTTATCACTGTGAGTCATGTTCTGTCAATAAGAGCACAAAGTTGCCTTTCTTTAATAATACTATGTATGCTCAGTACCCCCTTGAACTTATTTATACTGATGTTTGGAGTACTTCTGATGTGTCATTTGATGGGTGTCGTTACTATGTTATCTTTGTTGATTATTATACCCGTTACATTTGGTTCTACCCATTAAAAAATAAGTCTGATGTATCTATTATTTTTCCTCAATTTCATCGCCTTGTTGAAAAATACTTTAATTATTCAATTAAATCTTTATTTTCTGACAACGGCGGTGAATTTATTAAATTACGCCCATATCTCAATTCTCATGGTATATCTCATTTTACTACCCCACCTCACACTCCTGAGCATAATGGTCTAGCCGAACGTAGACATCGTCACATAGTGGATACGGGACTTGCCCTACTTCATTATTCTGGCTTGTCTATTTCCTACTGGCCATACGCATTTCAAACGGCTGTGTACCTCATAAATCGATTACCCACATCTGTCCTTCAAAATGACACACCATACTATCGCCTACACCATAAACAACCTAATTATGCTAAATTAAGGCCTTTTGGATGTTTATGCTACCCTTGGTTACGACCCTACTCTCCCACAAAAATTAGTCCTCGATCTATACCATGTATTTTTTTGGGGTATTCCTTGTCTCAGTCCGCGTACTATTGTCTTGATTTTAGTACCAATAAAGTGTATATCAGTCGGCATGTTAAGTTTATTGATGACTATTATCCACTTCGTTCCAAGTCTACGTCTTCTGGTGGTGCATGTACAACATGGAAGTCCTCTCTGCAGCATTGTACATCCAGCAACCAAAAACCTCCACTATCTCATAATAAATTACCTTTATCTCCACCGTTTGACCACATGCTTAGTCAACCATCACCTTGCCCATTCACTACACCCTCAGCCACTGTTATTCCACCAACACCTCAAACCTTATCCTTTAACACCAACCTGCATAACCCACTGACCGATCCACCTCCCCTCATCCCTACTGACACCTCACCGTCCCATTTATCCTCTGACCTGATGAACCCATCACCTCCACCCATTACTGCTCCTCATTCTAACACACATCCACCCATAAACCCCCCTACTCGACCTGTGCGACACCGTCAGCCCAATTCAAAATATTATAATGGCACCTATATCAATGTTACCACCAAACATCCTGTCACACCCATTATTGAACCAACGAGTGTTAAACAAGCCTTGTCTGACCCCCGATGGCGTGCTGCTATGGAAGAGGAAATGGCTGCTCTTCACCGGAACCATACATGGACGCTTGTTCCACGCACGTCACAGGTACCTATTACGTGCAAATGGCTTTTTCGTGTAAAACGGCATGCGGATGGGAGTATTGCCAGGTTCAAAGCTCGTTTAGTGGCTCGTGGTTTTCTTCAGGAACCTGGCCGAGATTACTCAGACACATTCAGCCCAGTTACTAAACCGGCTACCATACGGATTATTCTATCCTTGGCAATCTCCCAAAATTGGACACTTCGACAATTAGATGTCAACAATGCGTTTTTACATGGCACATTAACTGAGGATGTTTATATGTCACAGCCACCTGGATTTCATGATTCTCACCATCCTCAATTTGTCTGTAAACTTCACAAAGCATTGTATGGACTCAAACAAGCGCCCCGGGCATGGTACCTTGAACTCTCCCGATTTTTGATATCTATGGGGTTTCGGAAATCCAAAGCAGACGCTTCTCTGTTTATTTACTCACATTCTGGGATCACTTTATACTTTATGGTGTACGTGGATGATATTGTTCTTACCGGCAACTCCACAACAGGGGTGGAAGCTTTTATCCGACATCTTACCAAGAGGTTTTCTGTCAAAGATCTCGGCCAGCTTCACCATTTCCTTGGAATTGAGGTAATACCTCAATCAGCAGGTATATTCTTATCTCAACGCCAGTACATACTACACATTCTTGAATTATTCCGTATGCATGAGGCTAAGGAGGCTGCGACACCCATGTCTTCTGGTTCTCCTCCTCATCTACTTGATGGTGAGCGTACTACTGATCCTAGTCAGTATCGTCGTGCTTTGGGTTTACTTCAGTATTTGGCATTTACTCGTCCAGATATATCTTTTGCTGTTAATCGGTTATCCCAATATATGCATTCTCCCACAGATGTTCACTGGCAGGGTGTTAAACGTGTACTACGTTATTTGAAAGGTACACTGGACTATGGTTTATTTATCAAACGACACTCCCCTCTCACTTTGTCTGCTTTCTCTGACTCTGACTGGGGTGGAATACATGATGGGGGTCGTTCTACTACAGCATATGTTATTTATTTGGGCTCAAATATAATATCTTGGAAGTCTGCTAAGCAAAAATCTGTATCCCGCTCCTCTACCGAGGCGGAGTATCGGGCTGTGGCTAATGCGAGTGCTGAACTATTATGGATCCGACATTTATTAGTTGAACTTGGCATCTCCATTACATCCATGCCTCAACTCTATTGTGACAACCAGAGTGCTACCTACGTCTGTGCTAATCCCGTTTTTCATTCCAGAATGAAGCATCTAGCACTCGACTACTTCTTTGTGCGTGAGCTGGTTGAGCAAGGACATCTTCATGTAAAGCATATTTCAAATAAATTTCAGATTGCAGATATACTTACAAAACCACTTGGGAAGATCAACTTTCAACATTTTAGATCCAAGCTGGGAGTCTCCGACGGATCCTCCATCTTGCGGGGGCGTATTGACAAATAATATTAATTATTATCTTTGTTATTATTTGTACATAATTATCCAATTGCCTTAGTCTTATCATAGCTAACCATACGGGTGTTATCCCATCTAATTATGTGGGTTGTTACATAGTCTCATCCACTCACATATGTATTATATATATCAGTTGTAATCTGTATCATTTGACATACGAATCATTCATAATACTTCATCTCTTTACTAGTCATACTCCTATTAAATTTCTCCTTCATTTATCCATGGAAATGAGTGGACGGAATTTGACGTTATCTAGGGCGTAGCCACATTTTTTACTTCATTTATTTGGTATTTTACATTTTATTGTTGGTTACCAAGTCAAACATTTTTAAATTTTCCAAATAAACGTATTTATCAAAAAAAAATGTTGTGGGACTAGAGAAAGGAAAACAAGAAAATGGGTTTATCACATCATTTTCCAAAAAAAAAAAAAAGATAGTACGTATATATTTTATGTTTCCTTAATGAACCGGAGAAGTGTGTTTTACTAATTTTTTAAATTTGGAGATATGTCATTGTTCCGGTCTGGACGCCCGGCCCAGTTGACAACTATGCGGTCGGCGGTCCCGGTCCTGTCCTGTCCACGATAAGGAGGTCCTGATCCATTCCGATCAACAACCCAGTGGCCTTGTTCAATCCAGTTAACGACCCGGCGCTAACTGCTCGGTCCGATCAAAGACCAAGCAGTCCCGATCCCAACCTGATACCCGTTTTTAAATAATTTTTTCGAAGTGAAAAGAGTTTCAAAAAAACGTTGGGTTGCCAAGCAACAGGGAAAATGAATAAAATAGTCAAACTAGCCGATGAGACCTATCTAGACCGGGTACTCTATTTGGATTGCAATAGGCCTGGTTTCGGATTATCCCAGGAGAAAAGATTTAGTGAATATGTTTTCATATTTGAAAATGGAAAGCTGAAAATAAAAACAGAAAATCAGATATTGAAAAAACGGAAAATCAAAACAAAAAATTAGATAAAGGAAAATAGAAAAGAAAATAAAAAAATATTTATATTAATAAACGGACCCTTGTATTTACCTGACAAAGTTAATTTGCAAATTTGTGTGGAGGACAATATATCCTCTCATAAGTTATAACAATCGGTTTTCTAACTTCAATAATATTGTACTCCCTCCCGTCCCCGAAAGAAGTTCCTACTTTCCTTATTTGGATGTCCCTATTTAAATTCTCATTTCCTTAAATGGAAAGTTATCTACATCAAAACAGTGTCAAACAATATCGAAACAGTGTCAAAACAGTAAAATTAAGGGAGTATGAAAGTCAAATGAGAACTTCTTTCGGGGACGGAGGGAGTATGTGTTAGCACAGGTTTTGATAGTAATCGGTACGCAAGGGGAGAGAGGAGCCGCGAAGGGAAACCCTAGCCGCCGCCTCCTATTCCTTCCTTCTTTTCTTCTCTTCTTTTTACTTAAATGAAAAAGTTTCGTTTAATCAGTATTTTCAGTTCTATTTATACGTTTATTTTCTAGCGTTGTCTAGAGATATTATTTTCGGTGGCGAAGTGTCGCTCGCCAGATCTATATTCTCCGCCATCGCCGGTCGGATGTTCTTGTGTGCTAGTAAGAGGTTTGTATTGCCTTCTTTATGAATCATAAATCAGGATTTCTTCTGCATCGATATATAGGTCAATCGCCCCCCTCCAGAACCACCACCGATCCAGGAAGATGACATTTGATGGATTGCTTTCTTTCCGGTGGCTGATCAAACCGGAACAATTTCTGCACTTGGCTCATTACCGGTGGCTGGAAAAACCGGAAAGTTCAATAATTCATTTTCGGTGGCTGGTCAAGCTGAACCCATTTCGAGTAGCATGAGCAGAGACATTGCGGTACAAGTCTACATTGTTGCTGGGTTAGCGAACATAGGTGCTTTTATATAATTATATGGCGTTTTTGTTCTTTGTCTCACCCTGATTGTAATGTACGAGTATGATTGTAATATTTCGACTTTTAATTGTTATGTTTCTTGTTAAGATCTGATTATCAATAAAATGGTTATTTGATTTTCAAAAAAAGGTCCTCTCATTTCTTCTTTCGCCCCAATACACAGAATTCATTTCCTTTTCCAAACTCGTCAAGAAATGCATGCACTCACTCCGAAAGTAGTGCTGTCAATTAAATTAAATTAAATTGCACCCCACCCACCACGGCATTGTGGTAGAGCCACAAAGGTTTTCAATCACACACCACTCTGCTTAAATGATAAGATCTGGCCCCCAACATTAAAAGATAACAAGTCTTCAACTCAGATATTCATAAACAATGGCATGTGCAGCTTAGATTGATTCATTGGGAAGTCCCACTAAACATATAATCAAAATCATCCCATCAACATTTGATCCAAGAAAGAGACACAAACCAATCCAATACGGCAATCGCTTATAGAACTGGAACCAAATCCAGTTCTTCCAAACTGGGAGTTCCCTCATCCAAATTTAGA